AAATATATGTATATACACATATAAATGTCATGTACTTTTCACTGTGTGTACTTTAGTCTTTCTTTAGTCCTCGTTGTTCATGTTGATTCTGGAGTAAAGAACTAATGTTTAGTGGCAGCACAAATGAATGAGATGAAGCTTTGATTCAGGAATATTCTAAGCAATTAGTTTAGCTTCTTTTTTTTATTATTCCAAGTGATTAATTGCCTCTTGGCTCTAGTTTCAACTAAAGAATCTGTTCCGACCACCTCTTCTTACTCCGTGTGGCAGATTCTGTTACTGAGCCAAACTGCAGTACGTCCACCACTCTTCCCTTTACTCTTCCGTAGAACTCCGTGGTGTTCCAGGTTTAGCAGAGACAGGGCCCTGGAAGATCCTAATTACTCACAATTACTGTACATCAACCGCTCAACAGGACGGACAGACTCAGCTGTGCCAGCTGTCAATCCCAGCTCACTGTTCAGGCCTAACTTCTCACACCAGCCAGGTTCATTTAGGGAGAGTCTCCCTGTAGTTAAATCAGTTTGTAACCCTGACGGTTCCCGCTTCGCTCGGCTCTAAATGGCCTCGCTTACGATCAAGTTCAGTCTCACAGTGGCCATTGTTCAGGCAAAAATAGTCAGTTCTAAGTTTGAACCAATGAAAAGCACGGGAATCCCATTTAGATGTGATAAATAAATGAGGAGTCTTGCGTATCAGGAACTGCATACATTTTTAATGTCCAGCTGGTGACTGATGTATAATGGTGTCAAGCCTTGCCAGGGAGATGTGATTGTGACTTAATGAATAAATGATACCGGGGACAAATGAAACATTTTCCCAATTACTCTGCACCTGGAATTAGAGAGTCAGACCATGCACGTGGCGTGTGCAGGCTTTACTAAAACGTCCTCACAGCGCCACAGCTTTCCCACCTCTTTAGATTCCGTTCCATGCACTGAAACTCCAGGAAACGGACCCTGAATTCATCACAAGGTCATAATGGCCACTGCTTTCTGCCATCGGCTAGAAAAACAAAATGGCTCTGAACAGCTCCTGGCTCTGAGCGATCACTCACTGAATATGAAACTACTCCGTACCCCCGGGATACACACACACACACACAGAACAGAGAGGAGTGTGTGTGTGCTCATCTCGGTGTGTGTCTACAGCCTGCTACAGTGAATCTGTGCATGCACGTGTATGTACATTGTGTTTCTGTGTCTCACAAGGTAGAATCTATTTCCCTTGGGTGGCCTTGGGGCTCGGTTGGAAGACCATTGTCTTGTCGGCCTTGGCCAAGTCTCGCTGTTCTCTAGCTTGACGTGTCAGCTTAGCCCCGACGCCGCAGCTTTATTGATGGTTTGCCACCATTCCATAATGCATTTGTTCATTAACTTGAAAGCTTCTTATCCAGGAGAATAGTTTGCTTACAAGCCGGGTTCCTTACACACACACAAACACACACACGTGATGTGCCATTTAGTGGAGACGTACGCTTTATTGTATATGCACATAGAGTACACACAGTAAATCTCAACACGTCCGTACTTCTTCTTAGGTATGTCCAGCAGGGGATCATGTCAGTCCTGGCATACAGGATGTCTACCAGCAGCAGCAGCAGCAGCAGCAGCAGCAGCAGCAGCCCTCTGGGTAGTTTATGGTGTTCTTGAGCTCACGGTAAACATCTGCATTCTGCTGCTGCTGCTGCTGCTGCTGCTCCTGGCTCCAGTTGGAGCAGCTGCATATGATAGGAAATCGCCTCCTGCACATGTCACACCAATGATCCCAGCATATCTTATCCGATGATTTATTCATGAGTGTTTGATCTTCAAGTCTATCCTGCCAAATATAAACTGTATACATTATTCCACTGGTTAAATTGTTCTAGTCAGCGGAAACGGAGTGCGCGGTGGCAGTTGTGCAGCGATCAGTTTTCCACTATAGGAAATTAAAAAAAAAAAAAAAAAAGGTCAAAAGAAGGACAAAAAAACTCTTCTAAAAGCTGTTGTCTTCTCGTTGAACCGACATCCGTACACAAGCAGCTGTCAACGAGTTTGAAAGATTGAGGTCAGTCCAAGGAAGCAGAGGAGTTGTCGTTCTGATGCCAATTTAAATGTAAAGTACACTTAATTCATCCTGAAGATGAGCCGTTGTCCTCACTTTTTTTTTTTTTTTTGCTGCAGTACACGGATGACTCATGAGTGATTACGATTTTACCCCCACCCTGAGCTGAATAAGGCCAATCCTGGGAAAACACGCAGCCATATTAGGGAGATAAAAGAGAAAATGGCAGAGGCCAATTCCTTAGCTCTAATGACAGATCCGTATCTCGCAGAATTCATCGTTTTGCAGCAAGTGGCTTTGTTTCATTCCTGAGCGTGCTGTTTTAATTATGGATTTGTCACACCCCGATGGCCGGAATAGGACAAAAGCTTTTGATACTGGGGTATAGACATTCTTTAAGATTTGGCCTTTACTTATATGCATGTTATTAAGGAAATTACACATGGGCACAGCTCAGGCAAAGCCACTCTGCCTCTACCCCTGCTGTTGGTTTAACTGAGGTTTTATTATGCTTTAGTTGATATATTTAAAGATGAATGTATTTCCAGCAGAGATGAGGAGTTACTGACTCAGCTGCTTGGAAACATTAAATGTGAATGAACTCAAAGCGTACGATAGATCCACCAAAAGGCAGCTATCAGGCTCTGCAGCAAGAAGTCCAGGAAATACATTTCAAAACATACCTTTGAAAAAAAAACTACTTATATAAAAATAATAATTTAATAATTTGTTTGCACATAATTTAGAAATTTAGATTTGATGGACCTGATTTGAGATGTGACAAA